TATTCAGGATGCGAAAACATAAATCGGCTCCCCCCCACCCACCCCCGAGGGGAGGACCTTCAGGGTGAAGGGCCGACGCTCCTGGTTCTGGTTCTGCAGGTGGCGTCTGATGGCTAGCAGAACCTTCGGCCCCTCTGATGTTGGGAACAGAAAGTTTCTAATGTTTTTTTACCCTTTGGTCCTTGAATTTGTTGACGAGTGAAGACAGGAAGTCCTGACAAAGCAGTAATGTAGACACCAGTTCACCGTTCTGCAACTCATAATTTACATATCATATTAAATTTGATTTTGATGCTTTCTTCACCCTGAGGCATTTTTCCATCTCTGCAGCGTCGTTCTCTCAGACGCTGCAGAGGTCCCACACGGCAGGATTTACTGCGGCCGTTTGCGGTGTGAAGGAAAGCAGAGGTCACTGCTGCCTAGCATCAGCTGCAGGTGATCGATGAACACTGATCACCTGCTTTTTCACGGAAATCGGCCAATAGTGATCGGTGGCCAATCGATTGGAACACCATTCCTATAAACCTGTTTGCTCAGAGCTGCCTTTGATTCATAGCAGCTGGAACACCAGTAGTTTAAATCTGAATCTGAATAAACTTGACAACAGTTTTTTCTAGGGTAACTTTATACTCAGGAAGTCTGGAATTAGATTTTCCCAATCAGGAGGAATCTTCCATGTCTCGTCGTCTTCCTTCCTGTCAGTCTCGTCCACATGAATGTTTTTTTTTTCTTTTAGTACATTTTAATATGTTTCTACAAATAGTTTTCTTCAAAGATCTTGTTGAACCTTCAGGTCAGAGTTTTCAGGAAGGTCTGCCACAGATACTTTGAAGGTCTTACCTGGTCATAACAGGCTCCTCCCCCTCCAGGTGACCTACCAGCTGAAGATCCTCACCACAGCGCTCTTCAGCGTCTTGATGCTCAGGAAGTCTCTGTCCAGAGTCCAGTGGGTTTCCCTGCTGCTGCTCTTCGCCGGCGTCGCCATCGTCCAGGTACGTCCCGGTTCTGGCTCCACTGATCCGGAGAACGGTTCCGGTTCTTTGGTCTTCTGCAGGTTTTCTTTCAGGCTTGTTCTGGTTCAGTCCGTCTCAAGTCAAGTCAAAGTTTATTTCTATAGCACATTTCCAAAGCTGACCAAAGCGCTTCACGGGAAACATCACAGGTAGATAAATGATAAAATAGAAAATAAAAATAAAAGTTCAGTAAAAAATAAGACAAAAAATAAAATTGGCAAAGATACCAAAAGCTAATAATATGAATAAAACCAAACGATACATAATTTTTAGCTGCAGCAATTTTCTTCCATCCTTCCGCTGGTGTTGAAGACCAGAGAGAACAGATGAGTTTTGCCCCAACTTAAACCAAACTCAATCAAATTTTATTTGTATAGCACCTTTCAGCAACAAGGCATTTCAAAGAGCTTTACATCTTAAAAACACAAAACTACAAAGTCATAGAAACATGAGAACATCACACATCAGATTATTGATCAATGTTTCACGATTGTTTCAAAATCTTCTTCAACCAGCTGAGTTTTAGTCTACATTTAAAGGAGCTCAGGGTTTCAGCTGTTTTACAGTTTTCTGGGAGTTTGTTCAAGATATGTGGCGCATAGAAGCTGAATGCTACAGTCCTACACTGAGCCAGTGTAGGACAACTGGGTGATGAAATGTAGAACTAGGTGATATAGAACTGGGCGGTGTCTCTATCTCCCTGGTTTTAGTGAGAACTCCAGCAGCAGCGTTCTGGATCAGCTGCAGCTGAAGGATTTATTTATTTATTTATTTTTAAGCTGACTGAGAGTTTAGCAGCCAGAGGGAGACGATCCACAGAGAGGCTCTGTCTGCTTTACCGCCTGTCTTTTGGGACAGAGGGTAGAGCAGCCCTACAGCCACCCAGAAGCCTGAGGTCGATAGCGATAGCCCACCCTGGTCTGTATAAATAATGGTCAGATCGGACAAACGGCTCCCTAGCGGCCTTTTTCTTCAGCTATTCAGGAACCAGTGAGGCCCACAGCTTAAAGGGCTGCGCATATACTCATAGAATCTGGGGTTGCAATACGTAACCAACGTTCTACTTCGTATAGACTTTGCCCTTTAAGGCTATCGCTAGTGCTAAAGGCGAAGCAGGATGTAGTCTATGCCTCACTGGGTCCATCCAGACCACCACCATGAAGCATCTGTTCGCATATAACAAAAACAGTCTCAGCCTAGAGTGCGGAATTATGCGCTCCCGGCCTCCCATACAGCAGAAGACCAGAGAGGAGAAAACATCTGGTCAGAAAGGTTGAGACAAACAGACCTGCTGCTGTGAACAGGAACAACGAACGTTACGAACTGTAACAGTGTAATGATGAACAGAACAGGTAACTTATATTATACAACACTTTGGACAACCATGTTGTTCTCAAATGCTTTGTGAGTAAACGTAACAAAAATAATTATTCTGTCAGAAATCTGTGAACAGAATGGGTCATAGAGAACGTGGAAACATCACACAGGTAAACCCAAATAGATGAGCACAGAGATGACCAGGAAACTGCCGTCAAATGTCCTCCACAGACATTCCTTCACGCAGAGCTGTGGAGGATGAAATCCCTCTGGTGGAGTGACTCTCAGATTCTCTGGAGGATCCAATCCAGAAGAAGTGTAAGCCTGTGAGATGGCCTCACACAGAAAGATGCTGGGTGGACAGAGAACATCCCACTGAGTTATCTCTGTAATGCATGAACAGACTCAGACAGCGACGCAGTGCAGACGTGTGCGCCACATAACAAGAAAGCGCGCGCACGGGGCAGAGAAGATGAGAAGCAGCTTCTGTCTCAGAGTTATGAGGAGGGGGATAACCCTCCAAAGATATCTCTCTTGATCTGAACGAGCTTGTGATGCTTTGAGGAGTAAAGCAGGGTTGGGACGCAGCAAAATATAATCTTAAGAAATCATAATGCAACCGCTCAGCAGCATGAAAATGAATGAACCAAAAACTAAACTCAGCTATCGTTGGTATGTGAAAATGTAGGGCAGATCCAACATCATCGTATTCTGAGACAAGAAGGAGCAACGGAGAGAGCGGAAAAATCGCTCACTCTCTTTGCGGACATAAGGGCCAACAGCAGAGCAGTTTTAAAAGACAGGAACTTAAGAGGAGCCTGATCTAAAGGCTCGAATGGAGCTTCAACCAGAGCGTGCAGGACCAGTGTTAAATCCCACAGAGGAGCAAGTGGGCGTGACACCTGTCTGCTTCTGCGTACACCTCTCAGGAACCCCTTCATGGTTGAAGACCATTCTGTCACCAAAAACCCTCATGGCAGGAGGAAAAAGCTGCAGCATACGTTTTAATTGTGCTGAAAGCTAAGTTTCTGTCCATCAGCTGCTGGAGAAATGACAGCACGCAGCCTAAAGGACATGAAATGGGCTCCACCCTCTCTCCCGCGGACCAGCACTGAAAGGCTGACCATTTCGAAGCATATGAAGCTGTGGTAGAAGCGGCTCGTGGGCACTGAATGGTGCGCACCACATCCTAAGGGAGACCGAGCCTCTCTAGGTGCTCCCGTTCAGCCGCCAGACCCAGAGATGTTGGCCTATTTCCGGGTGGCTCCTGATCTCTCCGCCAGCCTGGAGGAGCACATCCTCTCTCCATGGCAGCTTCCACGGTCGACCTGACATCAACTGCTGCAGACTGGGAAACCACGCCGCGTTCTTGCACTCGGGTGCCAGGATTACCGACAGCTGTTCCTCCTGAACTCGGTCCAGGAGCCGTGAAATCAATGGAACTGGGGGAAACGCATAAAGGAGCATTTTTGGCTATGGGCTGTGAGCGAAGGCGTCCACTCCTAGTGGTAGGTCCTCCCGTGGACTTGGTGAGAACCATAGCTGGCACTGCGCGTTCTCCCACGTGGTGAACAGGTCCACTGCCGGTCTGCCGAATCTGCTCCATATTTGAGCAACCAGCTCGGGATGGAGACTCCAGTCCCTGTGGTGAGGACCGCCCCTGGACATGATGTCCGCTCCTTTGTTCAGGACGCCAGGGATGTACACCGCTCTGATCCAGAGCAGGTTTATGCCTGAAAAGCACAGCAGCTGTCTGGCGATGTTTAACAGCTGAGTGGAACGCACGCCTCCCTGGCGATTTATGTAGGCTGTTACACCAGCCCCAGCTCCAGACAAGTTTAACAGCAGAGGCTTGGCTGACTGTGTGGATGGAAAATGCCCACCAATGCCACCGGGCCTGCTGCTGCCACTCTGTTGACCATGTGGATCATAACATGCTGACCCTTCAGCAGAGGAGCAAAGTGCTGAGTCACCTTCAGCACCGTGAGGAGCCCCAGCACGTTTATATGAAGAGTCATGTCGTCTGGCCACTCTGCTCCACCCACCTGAGACAGACACGTTCCTCCCCATCCCACCTGGGATGCGTCTGTGAACACCATTAGGTGTGACGTGGGTCTGCTGAGGGGAACTCCCTCTGCCAGAATGCTGGGGCTTCCACAGTGAATGAGATTGGCTCCCACTGAAGGAGGAACAGAGATCATGCACCTCTTCTGGCGCATGATCATGATTGAGCAACTAGCTCGGGATGGAGACTCCAGTCCCCATGGTGAGGATCTATGCATAGGCAAGTGAACCATCTCTGGAGACACGTGAGCCGCTGACATCATCCCCAGCAGCCGCGTGACTGACAGAGCTGCCGCTACGCTGCGAGGCCTGACACGGTGGAGCTGTGCTGACAGAGGATTGACTCTTGGTTGTGCTAATCGGGCTCTCATCGTAGCCGAGTTCAACTCCACTCCTAGATAAATGATAATCTGAGATGGAAAAACCGAACTCTTACCTCAGTTGCTTCTGGGTCTGAATGGCAGCTTCCTCTTTGGACTGAGCCAGTAAAAGCAGGTCGTCCAGATAGAAGAGGACTCTCATCCCTGCCATGTGCAGTGGTTGCAGCGCTGTTTCCACACATTTGGAAAATGTGCACAGGGCGAGAGAATAACCAAATGACAGACGTTTGTACTGATACTGGGCCCCTGGAAGGAGAAACGCAGATACTTCCGGTGTTTCAGGATAATGGAGACGTGGAAATATACATCCTTTAAATTTATGGAGGTGAACCAGTCGTCCTGGTGAACGTTTCCAGCACCTGTCTGATTCTCAGCATGTGGAATGACCTCTCCACAATCAAGCTGTTGAACAGGAACAGATCAAGAAAGAGTCTCTCTCCTCCTATTTTTGGGGACCAGAAAATAGCGGGAATAAAACTCCACATTTTCTTCTCCTTGGGGAACCGTGGAAATGACACCTTTCGCCACGAGTTCCTGCAGCTCTGACATAAGAGTGGCGTTCTTCACCGGAGATGGTAGAAGCGTCTCTACGATCCCCCTGAACAGTGGAGGCCTGCCGCCAAATTGCATCATGTAACCCCTGCTGATTAGCTGATCCATCCACCTGTCCAGGGAACATGCAGCGCCGTCACTCTGAATAATGTTCTGAAAGCGGGCGTGCATTCATGTGAGGTGCTGTGGTTCGCAGGAACTATAGCCAAGTCAGAGCCCCTACCGCCGTCCCCTGCCTCGGAGAGTCTCTGGGGAGGGGAGAAGTCAGAGGGGAGCTCGAACAGAAAGGGCTGGTTATTGCCTCCATGCGGCCTGAGATGACCGTGCTCATGTCAGGGCGGGGACAAACCCATGCGCTTCCTGAAGGGGAGTCAGGGTGTCTGAGACGCCGTTTTGGCATGGTCCGCTGCCGGACAAATGAGGAGCCTTCGACACTCACGAGGTGAGATGAGTGTGAAGCTGCAGCCGGAGTCTCACTAGGCTCTAACTGTTCACACAATGCGCTCCTGGATTCAGACTGCTCAGAAGAGGCAGACTTATCCACTGAGACAGAAAACTTCTGTCTCACCTTCTTAGAGGCCACCGGCTCGCTGTGTGTGTGCGAGGAAGCTGCTGTGAGATCAGCTGATCTGACAGCTGGAACCTGCAGGAATTTTGCTCTCAGCGATGTTTGTGTTTTATTTCAAAACATTTCACATTATCACACACATTCCTTCCAGCTAGTTATTTCCTAGCTTGTCTGCTCCATGGCTGGCCAGTCCAGGATGGCTCAGGCTGACATCTGCTGGGAAGATGCTGGGTTGCTGGCTGTCGCACCAAGAAGAACTGCCAAGAGGTGGAGGAGGATGGCAAGAGTCTCCTAAGAGCAGAGTAGGAAGAGACTGCTGCAGCTGTGGAGTGTCTCAGGTGTTGACGGCAGCCACGTCGGTCCCTCCAGTGGCCGGAGGTGCAGGTATCGGGTTGTGACCCTACCAGGCAGAGGACAGACTCAGAGGTGATGGGGCCGTTCAGCAGGTCCTTCTGGAGCTTCTCGGACATTGACGCTGACAGGCGGAGCCAGGCAGTCCTCTGGATCAGAGTGGGCCAGGAAGCGATTCATGAGGAACAAATCGCTGACGTGGTGCACAGGTTGAGTATGATGTCAACCTCTTTGCAGAGAGAGCTCTTAAGCTCCCCTAGCAAGGCAGCTTCCTCCACCCTCTTAGAGATGCCGCATGACAACAAGGTGGCATTATTCGTGGCAGCCGTTGTCCGATAGGCGCACTGGTTGGCACGATCAGAGAACCTGGTAATCAACTAATCGTGCTTAGAAAGGGGCACGATCAGTGCCCCTTTCGCTGGTATAATCTGGACGTCTTGGACCCAAACACTTCCTCGAGGCCCGGATCCAGAGTTGGAACAGAGGGAACAGTCCGGCAATGAATCCTTCCACCCTGATGATAGGCGCATAGGTGGAGACAGGCGCCCTCACCTTCGTGGCTTCAGCCGCTGCCTCAGCTAATTTCGTCATCATGTCTAGGAACTGAGGCCAGATGGAGTCTGGGCGGCGACTCTGGGCAGAGCCAAACTGTCCCGCCAGATCATTCGAACACGGTAGGGGAGGTTGGAGGACAGGAAGCCCTTTAGCACTAGCCGCCTCCTTGATCAAGCTAGGTAGCTTGTGGAGGAGCGAGCCCACTGCTGGGAGCGGGGTTGAGTCCGACATACGGAGCCCGGGGTTGACTGAGCATCCGCTCAGCCGCCTCTATTCCACCGCAGTTCTTCCCAGCTGAAAGGCAACTTCGCTGCTGCTCTCTCCACCGTCCTCTCTGCTGGCAGAATCATTTGATTTCCGTTCAGCGTAAGCACCACATGAGCAGCAACCGGACTCGGTGGGCCCAGGGCTCCGCCTAGCACCAGCCTTGAAAATAGCTTGCCTCTGCCTTCTCACCTCCAGCGGGAGGAGAGCACAGGAGCAGCAAGAGGGCTGAGGCGTTAGAGTGAGGCCCGCGTGCTGGGGGCCCCGGCATCCCTCGCAGATCCGGTGCCCGTCGAAGGACATGATGTACCCTGTCTGACAAGACGGGCACAAATGGGTGGAACCGTTGGACAACATCTTTGCTCTTAGACAGTCTTGATATCGCTACGCTGAAGAAAAAAGGGGTCCGTTTGTCCGGTCTGGCCGTTATTTATCCAGGGTGGGGCTCACCTACTGGATGGGTGTGGACTACGCTTTTTTTCAGTGCTGCGCATGAGGGATAAGCCCACTAGCGGTAGCCTTAAAGGGCAAAGCCTATGCGAAATAGAACTCAGTATTTTTCTTAATTAGGTACAGAAAGTTTGCTCTTAGTCAAGCCTGTACATCCTGCAGACAACCCTATAACATCTGTACAGCAGACTGGCTGTCATTTGTAGTTACAGGCAGATTTATAGAAGGAGAGACTGCTTTTAAAGATACAACACAGAGGCAACAGATACAAGGCTAAAAGAACGGGCATTAACATTGACCCCGTACCCCGAATTGATCTATTAGTGGATCTACTGATGGATCTATCGATGGATCCATCAGTAGATCAATAGATCCGTCCATCGATGGATGTATTGATGACTCTGCCTGTGGTCTGATTGCAGGTGCAGCAGGAGGGAAAGAAGGAGGCGGCGGTGGCTGACGCCTCCAACCAGAACTATATGGTGGGTCTGGTTGCCGTGGTGATCAGCTGCCTGTCGTCTGGCTTCGCCGGCGTTTACTTTGAGCGGATCTTGAAGGGCAGCTCTGCGTCGGTGTGGATGAGGAACGTGCAGCTGGGCATCTTCGGCACGGCGCTTGGACTGCTGGGAATGTGGTGGAACGACGGCGCCGCCGTGGCCGAGCGCGGCTTCCTGTTCGGCTACACCGGCATGGTGTGGTGCGTCATCTTCAACCAGGCGTTCGGTGGGCTGCTGGTGGCCGTGGTGGTGAAGTACGCCGACAACATCCTGAAGGGCTTCGCCACTTCCTTCTCCATCATCGTTTCCACGGTGATGTCCGTCTACCTGTTTGGCTTCCACGTGGACTTGCTGTTCACCGCGGGGGCGGGGCTCGTCATCGGCGCCGTCTACATGTACAGCCTCCCCAAGGCGCCCGGCGGCCTCCCATGCCCCGAACCCTCCTCTTCCTCTGCATCCGTTGAGCCGCCGAGGGCGGGCAGAGGCGGCGAGATGGAGGCGTTTCTGCCAAAGTCAGTCCTGGTGAAGTGATTATGTGTCTCTGGCGCCACCTGGTGCTCCTTTCCTCTCTGCTCCAACTAACCAATGAGTGAGCTCCTCCTGCTGCGTCTCCTCCTCTTCCTGTCCTACTAACCTCTGCTCCCCCTCTCTTCCTCAGAGCTCCTTCCCCAGCCGCCAGCGGCACAGACTAATTCCTAGAAGCTGAGCAGGAAGGAGCTGGAGCGCCCCCTGCTGTTCTCTCTGCCTTAAAACTCTTTGCTATCTGAAAGAAGCGCCTTACACTGATTGGGTCCTGCTTGGTAGTTGCTGATTGGTTGGTCGGCGTGGGGGCGGGGCCACCTGTGGACTGTATGTTGCCTTTCCCTCTGTCTGAAGCCATAGGGTGGCGGTTCTGATCCCGGCCTGGTGTAGCCCGGTCCGGTCTGGCTGCTCGCTGGGAATGTGCTCATTGATTGGAGCATTTTTTAATTGTTCAACTAATCTGTGATGTTTGTTGTTGGAGGGGGCGTGGCCTGTCTGTAGGCGGGGTCAAGGGTCATTGTTTCATTTTTGTCTCCATTAAGACCTGATATGTTCCTGAAAACTTGAGCAGGTCCAGAACCTTCATGTCATAACCCAAACCACCAGAAGATGGCGCTGTCCAAACAGCACATGCAGAGAAATATTCTCTCTAAAAGTCTGAAAATGAGTTCTATTGTTTCTGCTGATGGATATTCATCATTTTGTGGAAGACCGTCACATTGTGTCATGTGGGCGGAGTCAGGAGTTGATCTCAGTCCTACCTACATCCACTGGTCACCGCCGGGTTTTCCTTTTACAAAGAAAGCAGAAATATTGTTCAGTCTCAGTAAAAAGAAAGTACACCCTCAAATTTCACAGCAGATTTCTCCTCTGGTCCATTAAACTAAAATCAGAGGAAATTGAGTAGAATAGAAATGAAACCTACAGAGACTAAATCGATCAGATATTTAGTTTTCAAAACCATAAAATAATCCAGAAGTCTGAGGTTTTATAAGACAGAACTACAGAGAAAATGTTTCATTAAATCCGATTTAAAGGTTCTTTAATTTCCACATCAGGATCTAGAAACAGCTGCTTTCTGGTTGGACCAGCTAAAATGTCTCCATCCAATCAGTTTGAGCTTTAAGGTTCAAAAGTCTTGTTTCATTTGGTCCCGAGTCAGAAAGGTTCTTGTTAAATTCCTTTAAAACCTTTTTGTCGGATTTAAACGCTGTGTTCCGGGTTGGTTGGAATCGGACCTCGGCTCACCCGGATCACTCGGGTCCATTTGGAGACAAAAACCCGGCAGAACTGCGAAGATTTCGCTGGATTTCCGTTTTCTTTCTGTTTGGGTGGGTGAGGGGAAGAGGAGCGGTCTGGACTCTTCCTCGTGTTGATGATATTGATTGGGATTCTGGTGGGATAACGAGGATTTTTACGTTTTTTTTTTTTGTTTTTCCTGAATCTGAAGCTTCATCTTCAAACAGAAGCTTCAGTTTTTCAGCTGTGCAGATGCTTTCCAGGCGTTTCAGGTGTTAAAGTATTTGGACCTCCAGGACGATTCAGAACCAGTTTTCTCTCTGAGACCCAGAGGTCTGACGGTGACGATGATGATGGTGACAGAAGAAAACAGAATTAATTCATATGAATCTCAAAAGTTTTTCCATAACGTTCATCTTAAGATCATTCAGTAAAAAAAATCACCAATCGTCAAAATAGTAATTTTCTCCTAACACGATTGAAGAAATAGAAAAATTATTTATAAATATGTTTTGACCAAGAAGAACAAAATGAATGATAAAGTTTCATTTCTTTTATTTCTTTATTTCTGCTCGCTGTGTCTGGTCATGGCCACCAGGGGGCAGCCTCATCAGACCCGGATGGAGTTTGGCTCCTTGTTCAAATCCTTTCAACATTAATATCTCACATCATTCAAAGTAATGAAACATTTTCCATTAAATAAATCTTTTTATATTTTTTGTCCACAAATAAAAAATGCTGAAAAGCCAAAAATGTAATTAAAATATATTTTCTTTTTGTCTTGTTTTTGCAATCATAATTTATCAAATTGATGTAATAAATGTTATTCCTGAGCAATAGAAATGCAAGAGATAAATGAAGAATATATAAAAATGTAAATTGTAGGTGAATATTGATACGTTTTATTTTATCTGTGCTGAAAGTGAAAACATTTTATATTTTTCCTGAAAGCTTTTTTTGTTGGGGGAGGGGGGCGGGGAATCATGAGCATCTGAAGGGGAAAAAACTGAACACTTCTTGTTTTTATATTTGAAGAAACTGAGATGTATGAGTTGTTTACAGGGTTGTTTTTATTTCTGTGTAAAAATTAAGTCCCATGAGATTATAAATTCACCTGAATGACGCAGAGTTTCTGTGTTTGGTGGAAATTGTAGATTTTCTGAATCAGATTTGATCTGAGCTGACAGCCTGGAGCGCCCCCTGCTGGATATTTTCTTGTGTTGGCGAACCGGAAACAGTCGCAGCTCCGGGTTCCATGTCCACTTCCTGTTTTTCTCAAACTGTTGGGACAGTGTGTGCGTTTGCACTCGGTTGTTGGTTTGTATCACAGCTTGTGAGTTTGTAAATATTTGTTTTGGTAAAGTTTTATAAATCAAACACTAAACTCTGGAGTTTGTCTCTTAATTTCCCTTCAGTTTGGAATTGGGACAAAAATCAGCCTGAATCGATGTCTAACTAAAGCTGAAACGCCTCCAGGTGCGAATACCTGGCTAAAGGGTTAGCTCATTAGTAGAGCTAATGCTAACGAACTACAGGTGAGGCAGTTTAAGCCTCAGCAGAGCGAAACGTTTAGCCTGTTGCTTCCCAGCCGGGTCAAAGGTCAGGAGACCTTAGTCCAGCTGTCGCAGGTTCGATTCCCAGCCTTTGCGACCTTTGCTGCATGTCTTCCCCCTTCTCTCATTACCCACTTTCCTGTCAAATAAAGGCCACTAGAGCCAAAAAAAAAGGTCAGGATCAGACTAACGCTCCAATAAATCACCAGAGATAAACATCTTGTTTAGAATTAACACATTTCTTACTAATGTTTCGACATTAATATATTTCACTATATTTTTATATTCTAATTATTTTAAAAATACACCAAATCTAATTAAAAGGATGTAGAAAAGCTACTTGTGAATCCATGACTGGAAAACCATCAGAAAGTTTTTACTTCCTGGTTCCCTTCAGGTGAAACTCGATTTTCCAGTTTCACTCCAACTATTATCACGAAACTACAAAAATTACATTTCTATTGTATTTCTGTCAACTTCCCTGAGAAATTCCTCAAATATTCCAGTTTGTGACAAAAATGGATTTCTGCTGCAGCAGGCGGGATCCGAACCCAGGTCACGACCTCTCCAGGTCAGTGTGCTGGTCTTACTGGGAGGACTGGTTTTTGACCTGTTTGTGGATCTCATTGATCAGATCTGATTAGTTTTCATCAATAGTCCTGAAAGTTCGGGCCTGGTTCTGGAGGTGCGGTCCAGGGTCGAACACAGGAAGTTCCTGGTGCTCTGCAGGTTTCAGGGGTTCTAAGATCCGGAAGCGGCAGGTTTGGACCAGAACCTTCTGGACCGCAGTCGACAAGGACAGAATAACGGAGATTCATTTCATCTCCATAAGAAGGAGTCACCTGGAGATGATCATGAAATTCAGAGTTTCTCAGAGAGAACTTCCTGTTTAAAGGACTTCCTGTTTGTAGAACTTCCTGTCCCAGAAGTCGGTCTTCTCTTCGGATGAGGCCATGAAGGAACCGTCTTCTGGCTATTCTTCTCCTGATCTCTTTTCTAATCTTCCTCTTCCTCTATCCGTCCTGCAGGTGTTCAGGAAAAGAGAAAGGATCCTGAAATGGACAGCTACCACTTCCTGTCTACTGAGGTCATGACCTTTCAAATTAAGATGCCAGACAGCATCACTCCAACATCTTCTGGACTTGAAAACGGTTCGGTTCTGCTCTCCAGCACCATAGAAGTCACACCATAAACCGTTCTTTCAGTTTGTTTTTAGGTGAAACACATGAAGTCTCATCATCTCATTGTGATGAAAAGCTGATGGTTCTGGATTCAGGGTTTTATCTGAAGAAGAAAATAAGGAGAACTTTGTGAAGTGACTTTTTGTGGACCTTCACAATAAGAGCAGAAACTAAAGATCAACTTTCTGATCCTTCATTTCTTTGCTTCTTCTTGGCTTCGTATCGTTCAGTTTCGTTCTGTTTTCGGTTTCATTCGGTTTTGTTAACGTTCTCACATGGAGAGCCAAAGTGGTTCTGTCCCTCTGAACCGGATCAGGAAACCATCTCAGAATGTCTCCAGGTTTTCAACATTTCAAAATAAAAGGCTGGATTTTTTTTTCCAGATAGAGATATACACATTTTTAAAATGTATTCATTTGTTTAATAACTTAATTTGATTTATTTACACATTTTTATTTTAGAAAGTAAAATAAAAATGTATTTAAGTAAAATAAAAATAAATGAAATGTATTTATTTGATAAAATCACCTTCTTATCGTTATATTTTATTATTTTTGGGTTGTAATAATAAAAGTAAGTTTTCAAAATATTGAAAAAAGAAAATAAATTAAAAATGTATTATTTATTAAACTCCAAATATCTTTTTTTCTGTCAGTTTATCTTTATGAACTTCCTTTCATGTCAGAATAAATTTCCTTTAAGCTCATTTTACCTTAAAATAAAACTACATTTTTATGTTTTGCTTTTTTGTGTTCTGTTTAATTTGTCATTTTCTGTCACTGATTTTTAAATGAAATGTTCTCCATGTTATCTTGTTGAAGTTTGTTTTATTATTTCTCATGTATTTTGAAATCTTCCCATGAATTTAAACCAAAAACAAACACTCCACTAATAAAATAAAATGTTTATGATGTGAAGGAATGAAATCTGCAACTTTTCGGTCTGAGGCACTAAACTGTTTACAGCGCCCCCTGTTGTGGGTCAACAAGGACTTTTCTGATTTTATTTCACTTCAATGTGAAATAAGTGCAGAAGAAGAGAAGTCATTTATGTTACTATATATTTTTATTGTGATAAATGACTAAAGTTCAGGTTTACTTTCCTGTTCAATAATAAAACTGACGTCTGCAGTTGGTCAAGCTGCCACCAGGGGGCGGGGTGGAGCCTTCTTGTTCTGTCAGAAGCAGCTGCAGGTGTTGATGACCCTAATCTAAGAGGGCAAAGTTCAGCAGTTAGCTAGATCCAGGATCCAGGTATTAGCCTGGTCCATTGAGCCACAGCTAGTAGTGATGGGTAGATGAGGCGTCATGTATCGTTTCGACACAAATCAAAACTGTGTCGAGTCTGTGTTGATACTGTCACTCAATACTGACACCTGCTGGACATTAAAAATTCCTACAGGCAACGTAGTGATTTGATGACCTAGTAGTCTATACCAGTGATTTTCAACCTTTTCTGAGCCAAGGTACATTGTTTTAATTG